ATATGAAGTACAATTGAGTATTTGAAACGATGAAATTTGAACATATCGATACTGAAGCATTATAGTACAAATCTGTCACATTACAATATACATGTATAACAAAAGATGATCAATTTCCCATATGTTGTCTTGAATTTTTAAGATTTAAGTAATTGGTAGAATTATTGGTAATGTTAAATATTGAGTGTTGATTTAGTCCTGGGTGAGTAAGTGGTTTTTTAGAAGAGTCTTAAATTGATTTTCAGGCCTGGTTACTTTAGTATGTTCTGGTAATGCATTCCAGATTTTGGGGCCCTTTATGTGCACAGAGTTTCAAGAGTGTGATATGGACACGAGATACATCAAAGAGATGTGTTATGGTCGTGTGTCTAGTACATAATAACTACTTAAATCTAGACAAGATAAGAGTGGTTAACTTGTATTAAAATCTTTATTTAACCCTAACATTAATGTGAGGTAGTCAAGGTGGAGGTTTATGTGAATAATCTTGACGTTGTACATAATAAAAACAATATTACAAATAATGGTTCAAACATTAATATTTCATGGATTGGCAGATGTTTAATAGACTAGAGGTCATGTAATATTCAATTCAATTCAATTCAAGTTTATTCTCTATAATGGTTACAATGTGGGGTTCACAGGTTTTGGGTATTTTGTGGTTTACATGTTATAAAATACTAATTACAGAGGGGGCCACTAAGACACCTAGCATGGCTAGGCATTTCCAGCAGACTTAGAATAATTCTTAACATTCAATCCTTACAGATTATGGTATTAAGGCTAAGTGACTACATCATAATTTGTGAGTTTAGCAATGTGAATGCTTTTGTTTTGGCACAATACAAGGTGTCTATATTTGAGTATAATAGGCAAACTTATGACTAGTTAGGATTTATATTTTAAGATTAAGATTAGTATTTCTGGGTTTATAGTCAGTGGGTGAGTGAGTGTAATTTTGAACCACCAGGTGGTTATCATGTAGTTGTTGGGGTGGATCAGGGAGATAAGATGTTTTCTAACTGTAGTTTTGAAAGTGATGAATGTGTCTGCAGTTCTAGAGTTTTGAGGTAGGGTGTTCCAGATTTTAGGTCCTTTGAAATACATTGAATTTTTGTAAAGGTTTAGTCAAACACGGGGAATGTCATAGAGGTGTTTGTGTCTGGTGTTATCTACCTTCCCAACAATCCTCAAAATAGCGAGGGTCACTCTGATCCACAAAGGAGGTGACCAAGCTGGCTTGAATAACTATAGACCAATATCTAACTTACCACTGCTCTCTAAAATCTTTGAAAAATTAATTCATAGACGGATCTATTCCTACCTCGTCTCACACAGCATATTAAACCCTTGTCAGTTTGGATTCAGAAATAATAAAAGCACAATTGATGCTATCATACACATGCTAGAACTAATATATATGGCAATTGAAAAGAAAGAAGCCCTGCTGGGCATTTTCATTGATTTACGTAAAGCTTTCGATACAGTCGACAATGAACTGCTGTACTCCAAACTAACGCACTATGGTATCAGAAGCCACTCCCTCAACTACCTAAAATCATACCTTAGTAACAGAACTCAATATGTGTATGCAAATGGTGCAAACTCTTCCACTCAACCAATCACAGTAGGAGTCCCACGAGGAAGTGTCCTTGGACTACTACTCTTTCTCATCTACATCAATGATCTACCAAATGCATCACAGCTACTCAAACCCATATTATTTGCAGATGACACTACATATGTCTTTTCTCACCCAAATAGTCATACTAGCAAACACAGTCAATGCTGAATTGCAGAAAATATCTGCCTGGATGATGACAAATAAACTTACCCTGAATACTGATAAAACCTATTTCATTCAGTTTGGAAACAAAGCTACAAATGATCCAATTAACATAACGCTAAATGGATCATCAGTCACAAGATTTACAGAGGGAAAATTCCTAGGTATCCACCTTGACAGTAGCCTTAAGTTCCAGACACATATACAACAAATCACCAAGAATATCTCCAAGACTGTAGGCATACTATCAAAAATAAGGTACTACGTTCCACAATCAGCTCTCCTGGCACTGTACCATTCACTCATATACCCTTATCTTACATATGGAATTTGTGCATGGGGATCAACAACACCCAATCACCTAAGACCTCTAATAACCCAGCAAAAGGCAGCAGTAAGAATGATAAATTCCCACTCCCGCCAGCATACTCCACCAATTTTCAAAAGTCTGAATCTGCTCACCATTAAGAACATCCATACTTATTCATGTGCCTACTACATACACAGAACAATACACACCCTCCACTCAAACTTCTCCTCACTAACCTTAACAGGACACATGACCATAACACAAGACACAGATCTCTTTTTGATGTACCTAGTGTCCATATCACACTGTGTAAAAATTCTATGCATATAAAGGGCCCCAAAATATGGAATTCATTATCAGAAGATATTAAAGTAACCCGGTCTGAAAATCAATTTAAGACTCTTCTCAAAAGCCACTTAATCACTCTAGACTAAATGCTAAATACTCAGTACACATATACTCACTTATGTACTCTCACATCATAATTTCAACAATTACCTTGAACCTTTTATCCATTGTTGATATGAATATAATTGAATCATTGTTTTCAGAAAAAGCATTTTTGAATATATGAACATATCTTTTGTCTTATACAAATTAGATTCGCTTATAATTAATAATCTACTGTACAACTATGAAATAATTACAATCCTACTGTACAACTATGATACAATCCTTAGTGTTTAGTCTGTAAGCCAATAATGTTAAGTTGGCCCATAATGCCTTGGCATAATAGAGGCTCTCTTTGCACTGCAACCCACTATTGTAAATACAAAATCTCAATGTACTATTTGCAAAGACAAAATAAATAAATAAATAAATAAAGGCTGTAATGTTCTTGCTGGCACTGAGAAGGGTATTAGCCTGACTAGCAGTGTAGTAATGGCAATTACTGTTAGGATTATTTGTGCAGTTCAATAAGAGGTTCATATCAAGATCGATAACTGCATTCATAACGGGCATGTAGAGAAATAAGCTGTTATAATTATTAACCCTTTCAGGGTCGACAGGCCTTCTCCGAGACTTGTTCTCAGAGTCGCCCAAATTTAAAAGAAAAAATTATTTTTTCTTATGAAAAGATAAGAGAATCTTCTCCCAATCATAATGACACCAAAAGTATGAAATTTGATGGAAAAATTATGGACTTATACTCTCGCGAAGTTAGCGGTCTCGACGGTGATTACGCATCGGCGATTTTGCCCACTTTGAGCCCTATTTTTGGCCAATTCCAGTGTACTAGTCGACAAAAATCATAACTACTTTGCTAGAACTCCATTTTTTCTATCGAATGAGTACAAGAAACAACCTATTTACCAATTTCAACTATCCAATACAGTGGTCAGAATTTAGCAATTTTGTCAATTTCACACAAATTTCAAAAGATGCCAATTTCCGAATAGAGTCCAGAATAAACAAGAAAGACATTCCTGGCACTAAAATAACATTTCCTCTGTTCATTAGTCACATCCCCATGCCCCTTTTACATTCTTTTGCTTTCCACTTTGAATTTTTATTCTCACAAAAAAATAGAAGATTTACTGTTATGCAGACTACTACATTAGTATAGAAATGGTATAAATAATATCAGCGCACTTGTGAAAGAATATTAGACTCACCAGTTGACGTGTATTGGATGCTTGGCATGATTTGTTGACTTTTGATCTTTGGTAAAAATCGAACATTTCTGCTACTTTGAGCTCAATTTCAAGGTACTTTTCACTGTAAAACCAGTCAAAATCATCTCAATTTCTGTAATATGTCTTCCATTCTATAAAATGAGACCAGGAAAACTAGAATACAACAATAAATAGCATACGAAAATACAGTGCAAAGTTGCTGCTTTAATCCAAAAACACGGTCAAAGTTTTTTTTTCTCATTACGCACTGTGTGCTGCAGGATTTTTTTTTATACTGCACACACTGACCACATAGACCCATTCTTTCATATGTAGGCCTACCAGCTTTCTCTCACTAGATTTGAGGGTGCTAGAATTTAGGCGTACTAGCACGTCAAAAACCCTGGTGCTTAAGCCGTACTAGTACGGCCGAAACCCTGAAAGGGTTAAAAAACAAGAAGCATTTGCTGTTAAAGGTGGCTGTCTATTGTAAATGAATCTGAGGTAGAAGAAAGGAATGGTACGGGGTCATCACAGAAAGGGACAGAGGGAGGAGTAAAGGTTTTGAGTGCTAGGGGACAGAACATTCAACAGGTTTTTGTGTGCACATTTGATGAGAGTGGAGACAAATGGTTTTTATGTCTTGATATTCTCTTGGAGTGTAAGTAAGGTAACATTTATGAAGGGATTCAGGACACCAATTAGCTGAATGAGAGTCCTGGAGGTGGAAAGTACAGTGCCTGCACACTCAAAGAGGGGTGTGGATGCTGTAGTTTGGACGGTCATCTGAATTGTGATATCAGCACACTTCTGACAAGACAGTAACTCCTGGCATTTTTCCTCTGTATGTGGGTCACCCTACCTTGGTGGGAGATGGATGGTGGATACAAAAAAAGGAAGTCACTGGTTCCCAATGAACTGTTAAGGGCTCTTAAAAATGTAATAGGAAGTTTGTGAGCTGTTAAATAGTCTGTTGATATCACTACAAACAGATATAGTACCTGATGTAGGGAAAATGGCTAATTAAGTATCCCTGAAAGGGTACCTTTCAGTGGTTGCCTTATTAATGTTCTTCCTCCAACTTTTTCATTTATTCTGATCCAAATTACAGAGACCAATCCTAGTTTTGAATGCTCTTGGATTCCCACAGTCTTAGCTTTTATTGTGTTGCAACCATTACATCTAATAATTCATTATGGAATAACTGTTACTAGCTAGTAGACACAGAATCGTATACATTCCACATTCATACTAAGTGTACAAATATTGCACTATACTTAACACTTACTGACTCATTAAATCTTTTCCATGTAATAGCTAAGCAGTAGATGACAGCAACTGGTGGGGCTAGGTAAGCAGCAATTGCTTGAATGTAGACATACAGCTGTCCACCTTGATTACGCTCAATGATAGGAATCCACAAGATGGAAACAACCGCTAAAATTATGATGAAAATCCTAGAAGTAAAATGTTTTTAAAGTTTTAGTTAATTCTGAGTTAAAAATAAACAAGTACCATACTATTCTGAAAAAAGGGCATTACTTGGATCACACACACAAAAAATTAAATCCTAATTTGAAATTAGTTTGTTGATTCTTGACTTTCATCTGCCAGGGAAGTAGTAATTAAATTAAACAATATGGACTGAAGTCTTCTTAATATCATCATAAGAAACTTACCTTCCCACAAGGAGTTTCTCCCTTCCTGTGGCTTTGGGCCTACAAATTGGCCAAATATCCATTGTGAAAAGTGTAGAAGAAGAATTAAAGATGGATGTAAGATCACTCATAAGAGCTGAAAGCATAACTGACAGCATGACACCTCTCATTCCACTTGGCAAGTATTCCAACACAAGTTTAGGGTATGCAGAGTTGGTGCATGATATTTTTGAGCCACAGAACTTATAGCACTCTTCAGGAACAATACAACCCACCTCATTGGGGAACAGCACACGGGATATCATACCTAGTCAAGAGAAAAACAGAATATGAAAATACATTTATATACAAAAATAGTAAACTAAATTAATGAGTGCTGATTACACAGAGACTCGAAAGATGTCACCCATTTTCCTGTTAAAGGAGAATAGAATGTTCTTATAATACTGATAATTTTTTTTTCAACAAAATGGCCATTTCCCACCAAAGCAGGGTGACCCAAAAAGAAACATTTCCCCATCACTTGCTGCATCACTGTCTTGCTAAAGGGGCACTGATACTACAGTTCGAAACTGCAAATATCCCCACCCCTCCTTCAGAGTGCAAGCACTGTACTTCCCACTTCCAGGACTGAAGGCCACCTAACCAGACATAATGTAACTTTTACTCGTGGTTACTTTTCTTTGGAATGCATCTGTCACTGTGGAGTATTCCTGTAACTTAAGGCCCTTCACTAGCTTTGCTGTACATAACAAAGCTCAAAATACTGAACATTACCAGAAAAATGCTAGTTCTGCTATTAAATAATTGAAACTTTAACTAAGGTTGCACTAAAAATAAGAATGAATAAAAGTGAGCTATTTTAACATGAATGCATAACAGGATAAGCTGAAGAACAGAGCAAGAGGGAGGGAGAGAAGAGGGGGAATGAGAGGAGATGGGAACATACACATAGAGACATACATAGATAGAACAGATAGACAAGCACAAAGACAAAGAAATAACTGAAGAAAAAAACAAAAATATACAAGAAAGTGATGAGCCTGAGACGGTCAGTAAGCGGCGTTAGCATATAAATGGATTAGAGGAAAATCATAAGAGAATGGTTGTTTTCTAAAAGTAGTTAGTGCTTTCATGGGAAACAGACAACCTGTCTACTTGTACTAAAGCCGAATTAACATGCAAAATCCTTTAAAAAGTACAAAAAAAAAACAAGAAATCTTTGGTCTCATTTGGTAGAATTGACACTGACCTTCATCAGAAGACCATGGATGTCTATCAAGGCAGACAAGTAAAAATTATTCAGTTACAGTATTTGGTTAGTTTCTTTTACTGCTTTAAAAACTAGGTCATGAAATGTAAGTGATGAAAAATGATGCTGTAAAAGCTATGCTGAGAAGTAGAGGCTACAGGTACCACAAGTATACTACTGTAGGTATCACAGAGATTAAAGTGCATTATCAACCCAGCAGAAACATTAAACACAATATTTGTACCTCATCTAGATAAGTGACTATTGAGAGAATACTCAGTAAATTTGTATATGTATAGAGCTCAAAGAATCATGCAAGTTTTTCCCAACAAAATGATGGAAAGTTAATGTTACCTGGTAAAATTATTATAAATAGTGGCAAAAGTTTAATGAATCCAGCAAAAATGGTGCCGCCCTTTGCATGTGACAGGCTGCGAGCTGCCATTGCACGCTGTACCATCATCTGAAAGATTTGAATACAATAAAATTTACTTATGTTTCTTTTCCAAAAATACAATATGGTACAGGTATCTGTAACAGCATGTTGATGAAATATGTGATATAGTAAATTAACCTTACTTAATAGGGAACATACTATATACATACCTGGTCAGCACACCAGTACCAGATGGAAACGGGCATCTGGCCCAGTATGAAGGCAGGCCAAGGCATATCACTGACAGTGGGATCAGCATCTCTTAACATTCTCCACGAGTCAACACGAGGAAGTCCACAGGTTGAGTTATCTATCAGTTTCTCTGGAATTGCTTCAAGATACTTGGTCTGTAGCTCTGTATATCCCCCCACAACACTGAAAGCTAAAAATTTAGAAAATAAAACAAATGTCACAGACTCTTGCACAATGTTATATAAACATTCACAAGTTACTCTACTATGTTCTACAGTCCAACTTTATTCCAATCTATTAAAAAAATAACATGCATGAGTCTAGATGTTATGCTTATTACATACAGGAAGGGCCCTGCTTATACAGCAGTTTAGGTTCTGGGCTACTTCTGCAAAGTGAAAATCACTGTCAAGTGAAACAACCAGATTTTTTTTTTTTTTTTTTTTATACTTTCAAATGCATATAAAAACCTGGTAACATGTTTAGACTATCATATATTAAATGATAAATAGAGCTAGGCCTAAAAAATGCATATACAGTACACACATTACTTACCTTAAAATATTTTCATTCTTATACGACATTTATTTTTGCAAATATACATACAAGTACCTAGGGATTGGTGGAGAGCATGTATAGTTCCTTTACATACAGGGAAGGGGGACAAAAGAGACTGTAAAAATTATAGAGGAATAAGTTTACTGAGTATACCAGGAAAAGTGCAGTAGGTTTATAATTGAAAGAATTAGAAGACAGAATGTAGGATTGCGGATGAGCAAGGAGGTTTCAGAGTGGGTAGAGGATGTGTAGATCAAGTGTTTACATTGAAGCATATATGTGAACAGTATTTAGATAAAGGTAGGAAAGTTTTTATTGCATTTATGGATTTAGAAAAGGCATATGACAGAGTGGATAGGGGAGCAATGTGGCAGATGTTGCAAGTATATGGAATAGGTGGTAAGTTACTAAATGCTGTAAAGAGTTTTTATGAGGATAGTGAGGCTCAGGTTAGGGTGTGTAGAAGAGAGGGAGATTACTTCCTGGTAAAAGTAGATCTTAGACAGGGATGTATAATGTCACCATGGTTGTTTAATATATTTATAGATGGGGTTGTAAGAGAAGTAAATGCTAGGGTGTTCTGGAGAGGGGTGGGATTAAATTACAGTGGAACCTCAAAAATCGAACTTAATCCGTTCCAGGAGCTAGTTCTAAATTCGAAAAGTCTGAAATTCGAAGCAATATTTCCCATAAGAAATAATGGAAATACATTTAATCTGTTCCAGAAACCCAAAAATATTCACACAAAAAATACATTTTATAGAGATTAATTACAGTTTTACATACCACAAATACTATAGTTTTTAATTATGTATAGTAATACATATAAAATACCATTTTTACTTACCTTTATTGAAGATTGGTGATGGCATCTGGAAGATAGGGAGGAGGAGAGAGGGAGTTGCGGTTAGTGTTTGGAAGGAGAATCCCCCTCCATGAGGACTTCAGGTAAAGCCCTCTCTGGGGTTACTTCCCTTCTCTGTCTTTTAATGCCACTAGGACCAGCTTGAGAGTCACTGGACCCCTGTCTCATAAAATAACTGTCCACAGTCCTCTGTTTCTGGCACCTCTTTAACATTTCCCAAAAATGGGACATGGTTCTGTCACTGAACTTGTTGCAAAGATGGCTTGTTTCAGCTTGCTCAGGGTGGTACTTCTGCACAAACATTTGGATATCATTCCACTTGGCACAAATCTCCTTAATCTTTGAAGAAGGCACTTCATCCACTCCCTATATTAACACCTTTCGCAACATCAGCTTCCTTGATTTGTTCTTTCTTTGACAGGATAGAACCGATGGTCGACTTGTTTTTCCCATACATCCTGGCAAGCTCAACAAGTCTCACACCACTCTCATACTTCTGTATTATTTCCTTCTTCACATCTATGGTGTTTCTCACTTTCTTTACCACAGAGGTACCACTAGCAAGTTTCTTTGGGCCCATGGCAGCTTATTTCACAGTCCCACAAGCACTAAACACAACGAAATAATTGTAAAATGCATGAATGAGAGCGCAGGTTAGTGTTCACTCAAGCATAAACAAAGCTAGACTGCTCACGGCGCCTGTGCGGGGACGCGGACAGAGCGGGCCGGCAGACAGGTCCCGTACCCGGCGGTCCGAAAATAGGGGCGCATTCGATAATAGGGACACAGTTTGTCCAAAAAAATGGTCCTATTTTCGAAACGTTCGATATGTGATACGTTCGATTTTTGAGGTTCCACTGTATGGGGAATCAAATACAAAATGGGAATTGACACAGTTGCTTTTTGCTTATGATACTGTGCTTATGGGAGATTCTAAAGAAAAATTGCAAAGGTTAGAGGATGAGTTTGGGAGTGTGTGTAAAGGTAGAAAGTTGAAAGTGAACATAGAAAAGAGTAAGGTGATGAGGGTATCAAATGGTTTAGATAAAGATAAATTGGATATCAAATTGGGGAGGAGGAGTATGGAAGAAGTGAATGTTTTCAGATACTTGGGAGTTGACGAGTTGGCGGATGGATTTACGAAGGATGAGGTTAATCATAGAATTGATTAGGGAAAAAAGGTGAGTGGTGCGTTGAGGTATATGTGGAGTCAAAAAACGTTATCTATGGAGGCAAAGAAGGGAATGTATGAAAGTACATGTATAGTAGTACCAACACTCTTATATGGGTGTGAAGCTTGAGTTGTGAATGCAGCAGTGAGGAGGCAGTTGGAGGCAGTGGAGATGTCCTGTCTAAGGGCAATGTGTGGTGTAAATATTATGCAGAAAGTTCAGATTGTGGAAATTAAAAGAAGGTGTGGAGTTAATAAAAGTATTAGTCAGAGGGCTGAAAAGGGGATGTTGAGGTGGTTTGGTCATTTAGAGAGAATGGATCAAGGTAGAATGACATGAAGAGCATTTAAATCTGAAGGGAAAGGAAGGTGGGGTAGGGGCCATCCTTGAAAAGGTTGGAAGGAAAGGGTAAGGGAGGTTTTGTGGGTGAGGGGCTTGGACTTCCACCAGGCGTGCATGAGCATGTTCGATAGGAGTGAATGGAGACGAATGGTATTTGGGACCTGACGATCTGTTGGAGTGTGATCAGGGTAATATTTAGTGAAGGGATTCAGGGAAACTGGTTATTTTTATATAGCCGGACTTGAGTCCTGGAAATGGGAAGTACAATGCCTGCACTCTAAAAGAGGGGTTTCGGGATATTAGCAGTTTGGAGGGATATGTTGTGTATCTTTATACATATATGCTTCTAAACTGTTGTGTTCTGAGCACCTCTGCAAAAACAGTGATTATGTGTGAGTGAAGTGAAAGTGTTGAATGATGATGAAGGTATTTTCTTTTTGGGGATTTTCTTTCTTTTTGGGTCACCCTGCTTCGGTGGGAGACAGCCGATCTGTTAAAAAAAAAATGACGTACAGGGTCTAAAGCCATCAACAAACAACAAAATACCTTTCATCAGTGGACTGCTCACAGAATCAAATGCAATGTTTGTGGCTTTCACAGAGATCCCCATAAAGGGCCAGTTTGACAACAAAATATGAATCCCAGGCTATAACCTATTCAGATGCAACAGAGTAAACAGGCAACAAGGGGTATGTTGGCCTGTGTGTGAGAGTCACTCATCTGCTTGGGACTACTAAACATCTCAAATGATGTAGTTGAATTTTTGTCAGTAATGATTGAAAACCAAAACAATAATAATAATAATATAAGATGGATAAGACAGATATATCTTTATTTCTACAAGTACATGTACAAGGTATACAGGCCCAGCTGACATCAAAATGACATACTACTATATAGAAAGCCACTTGTTATGCTGAGCATTTCAGGCAAATTAGGTCAGTTTTGTCCCAGGATGCAATCCACACCAGTTGACTAACACCTGGTACCCATTTTACTGATGGGGGAACACAGACAACAGGTGCAAGGAAGCATGCCCAATGTTTCTATCCTTGCAGGAATCAAACCCTGACTCACGCCGTGTGAAGAGAGAGCTTTAGCCATCATTGTGGTTGTTTACAAGCCTCCTGATGCAACTTCCCAATAATTCCAGGAACAGTTTTTGAAAATTGAGCATTGTTTGGAAAATCTCCCAACTCTTGCCCCAAACATCTTGTTGCTAGGTGATTTTGGCTTAAGACACCTAAAATGGAGGAATGTAGCAAATAAAGTTTTAGCAGAGATAACCCCAGGTGGCAGCTCAGATGAAAATTCACACACACATGAGCTATTAAATCTCTGCAACAAATTCACCTTAAACCAGCAAATAGTGGAGCCAACAAGAGGCACATTGGACCTCATCTTCACTAATAATGATGATCTGATATGAAATGTAACAGTATCAAAAACAAAACACTCAGATCACAACATAACAGAGGTACAGACATGAATGTGCAAAGCTCCTGACCAGCATAAGGTGATCAGTTATGAGGGTGCCTTCACCAAATTCAACTTCAATAACAAAAACATACAGCAGGATCAAATCAACCATGTCCTAAACGAAACAAGCTGGGACTATATCTTAAACAACACGGATCCAAACCTTTGCCTAGAAAGAATTAACTCTGTGGTATCTTGGGTATGCTCAAGGCACATTCTTTAAAAAAAAGAAAAAGATGCAAACTAGAAAGAGAGAGACGCTCACTATACAGGCGAAAGCAAAGACTCACACAGCTGCTGAAAGGGGCCAGTATATCTGAAATATCAAAGGAGGCACTGGTCTCAGAAACAGCAAATATCAAACTTAAGCTCAAGGTATCATACAGGAGACAAGAAACTCAGAGAACTTAAAGCCATAAATGAAACTGAAAGAAATCCTAAATACTTATTTTCTTATGTAAAATCTAGGACAAAAACATCATCCAGTATTGGACCCCTGCTCAGACAAGATGGGACTTACACAGATGACAGCAAAGAAATGAGTGAGATACTGAAGTCCAAATATGACTCAGCATTTAGTGAACCATTAACCAGACTAAGAGTCAATAATCTAAATGAATTTTTTATGACCAAGACTCAAAATTTTATTAATTCAAAAATCTCCAATATCATCATAACACCACAAGACTCTGAAAAAGCAATAAATAATATGTCCATGCATTTTGCCCCAGGCCAAGACTCACGGCTATCTATGTTCATCAAGAACTGCAGGAA